GGGGGGGAATGAGGGATTTATGATTATAGGAAGCAAAAGTATTGGAGAATTTACACCAAGATATAGTGGGGTAATCAGGATTATTGAAGAGTTTTGTATAAGCAAGGATCGAGAGGCAGTTTTTTTAGTAGTAAACAAGGGTTGTGTGAGTCAGATAAGGCGATTGTGGTCTTCCTTTCTATTATGAGGTTGATTAAAATTTGCTTGTTGGTCGGGTTTTCGGTGGGCGATGGAAGGTAGTTTCAATGAGGTTGAAGGTTGAAGAAACTTGTCCAACCTTTTCGTTCTTCGCCCAGTGGAATAAAGAGCTCATTAAGAACACCATTTCCATGAAGCAGAGAGATTTCAGCAACAATGCCCTTTTTGTTGGTGAGTTTTTCTATCCAAATGGTCTGTTCTAGAAAATATTTCTCTTGAAGAACTTTTGGCTTAATCGAGCTGATAGTAGTACATGATATGATGTTTTTAGCCATTAAAAAAAAGACCATTTCAATGACAAGGGGTCAAACATCACTAGGATTTGTCTACAACCCTCTAAAAGTTCTATTATTTCTCTAACCTCACAAACTCCATAACAAAGCTCAAACTCCCCCTATTGCAAAAATCTCCGCCCCCTCAAAAAGGTGGATAAAGAAGAAACTTTTCAATCATCTCCCCAAGGCCTTTGTGTTTGGCAAGCTAAATGTTGAACACATCGAAAAAGAGACTCCATACCATCCAAGTATAGTCGCAACTACACAATGAACAAGATCTTCCTCTGCCTTCTGACAAAGAATGCAATAAACAGGCCCAGCCAAAAAGGCATCTTTCTTGAAAGCCAATCAAAGGTATTACCCTTCCGTGGATGACCTCCAAACAAAGAATTAAACCCTACTTGGAATTTTCACCTTCCACATAACCAAAAAAATAGACTCGCCAATCAAACCTTAACAAAGAAGGGTTCAACAAATGCTAAAAAAACGAATAGGAAGAAAAAACACCAATGGGGTTAGGACATCAAGAGTGAATATCCCTCTCCATGGCCTAAGCTCAAACTCTCCAATGATCAGATAACAAACAAAGGAAACCAAACAACAAAGAGTTAAAGCTCCATGAGGGAATAAAATATTAGACACGAAACAATTTTTTACAGAGAACATATGATATAAATGGGAAAATGTAGAGCAAAAGGATCTATCCCACAACCACTTATCCTCCCACAAGTACATTCCTTCTCATTACCCACATAACATTGAATCATATCCAAAAAGGAAGGAAGCATATAAGAAATATCTTTCTAAGAACTTCTACAAGTACCTTTAATCCCACCCATTACTCATTCAAACAAATTGACCGTTGTTACTCACAATAATCCTTTGCCAAAGAATATTATACTCATCAAGGAAATGCCAGGGCCATTTGGTCAGCAACGGTTTGTTGCAAGTTAGGTTTCCCACAACCTAAAAATTCACCATTTGTGTGCTTCTCCCCTTTTAAACTCCTTCCCATAAAATATCCGACATAAGTTTCTCGACGGTGTCACAGATAGAATAAGGGCTCTAAAGAGAGGAAAAATAAAAAAATAAAAAATAGGGAGGGATACCACTCACCGAATGAATGAGAATCAGTCTACTACTGTACGAAAAGAAGCTCCTTTTCCAAGTGGCAGATCTCTTTTTCACCTCCTCAACAGAATCTAAAAAATGAATGGTTTTCACTCATAGAGTTTCACATCTTTCACTCTTTGCACAGTCAAACCTTTCAATCAATTTGATCTTTTGATATCTTTCATTGGAAGGAGTTAGATAATTTACTTGCCTTTGGCAGTATCTTTGATCTTTTGGAATGAAATCGTCCAATCTCTTCTCCAAAAAAAAAAAAAAAAAACCTTTCAACCAAGTTAATAAGTAATCACTATACCTAAGATCCAACAACTTTCCCACATAAACTATTTAGTTTGAGATTTACTAACTTGAATCTAAAAAGGGGGATTCATGAGTTACATGAGGCAAAATTTCAGTCGTTTAGTTTTTGTAATTTATGCCCTTTCCACCATGTGAACAGTGCCTGAGAATCTGATTTCAGATCTCACAGCCACCAAAACTAATAAAATCTGTCCCTAAATCATTGTTTTGCCTCACTTCGCCTACCAACTCATCTTCCTCCAAAATTATATTGCGATTAAATGTTGCCATAGATGCAGTGACAGAAAAGCTAAAAGCAAGCTGAGTGCAATCAAATACTCACTTCAATTAAATTTTTTTAAAAAGCAGTGAATGACATTAGAACTTGCTCGTGCACACAATTCATGAGGAATATACTTAATGATGCATCATGGAAAACTTTAATAATTTTCTTTATTTACCAAATGAACGATTAACCTACAGAGTCCACTGGTATGGTTGAAAGTATCAGTTTAATATGCACTTGGTCTACCAGCCCTACCTAGCAAAATCAACTAAATAGCATCACTTCTATTTATTCATGCAAAATGAAATCCAAAAGCAACCTGCGTGGGAGGTTCCCCACTTGGTGTATGGGTAAGAAGTACTGTAACTTTATTAAAAGTGAAAAACATTTAGGCAACTTCTATTCATAATCATGGTTACTTGTTTACATTCAGAAGAACAAGTATCAAATAAAAACTACTATCAAAGGAACACGTCAGTAAGCTCACCAGGGTTGGGAAAGAACCTTCTTCGATCATTAGGACATGCAACAAAAAGGGCATTTTGTGGGTTAAAAATAGCCTTGCAGACCAGCAAAAACCACTCTCGCAAGACACCAGGGCCCGTAGCCTCCTCATTTTTGAATAGCACAAATAGTCCATGGCGTAGAGCCTCAACACTCGCATTTGTGATGTACTCAAAAGATTCTTCCAATAATTGGGACCTATCAATCAGCATTTCCTGCAGTTCCTCATAATCCTCTGTTGGCTCAGGAAACATAAGCATTGACAGATGTCTTCTAGATTCAGAATTTATTACATCCTTGTGGCAAAGAATCCACGAATAATCATCAGCTCGCTTTGCAAATCTAATAATGAGCTCACAAATAGAAGATTTCCTTGGCCTCATGATTGCCCAAAATTCTTCTTTAAGACCCTGGAAAAGAAGGGAGATGTCATTCAATTCTTTTAGAATTGGAAGATACTGAGACCATCCTATGTAGGGGATTACACAGTTCCCCTTTCCTTTATCGGTCAAGAAAGCTTCCATTCCTTGAAGACATAAATCCATCTGTTTCAACAAACTAAGATATATATTATGAAGAAATTCACCCTCTTCTCCATATGAAGAATCCCTAAAGCCTCCCCTATCCAGTGGCACATTCTTGGAGCCATGAAAACTCAATTTCTCTGGAATTGCATTGCGTAAAGGAAGTAAAAATGCTGTAAAATCACTAATATCAGTCACAGAAGGCCCTGCAATTGTGGGAGACCGTATGCTTGAGGATAAGTCGATGGACAATTTATTGGCCAGTTCATTAACAAACGGAAAAAGCTCGGGCGTTTTGATGGGTCCCCAAACACTTTCTAAGCATCTCATCCCGCGACTATTGCCATCAGTTTCCAACAATGAGCCCAGTGTACTGCGGCATAAAACATATAAACCGTCCTCCGGAGTATCTCTCCTAAGCAAATTACAAAATTCTAATACTATAATCGCACAGCACTTTTTTAACGATTTGGGAACTGAATGACAAAGCAAATCCATGAAATGCTTAATCAAATTATCAGCACAATCTGTATTTCCCTTAATCGGAGACAAATAAAGCATCACTAGCGCTGCTGGGGCAGAAAGGGACAAGAAAACCTGGAGTTGCTTCATTGCCGGATCTAAGTCCGTTTGCGTAGCCAAACTTAAGAAATCGGTCATCAAGGTAGTGAGAATTTCCGAAGCAGAAAACACAACCTCCCCCCTATAAAGTCGTAGAACCAATGAAACCATGTCGTCAACAATCTGCCAAGCTTTCGGATGCTCCGTGCTCCTCATGCGACCAACTAATTGCAGCTCGGCATTGTTCTGTATCGAACACTCGCGTAGTGACTGTTCGTGCTGGAGTTGCCTTCCCCTATATATCAACCTCTGCTCAAAAACTGGTATGCGCGTAATAGCTTGTATCCGCTCATGAAGCGATATCACTGAATCGTTAGTATTGGCGAGCATTACCATAGTATTCCCGACGGACATCGTTCTGACAAAAAATTGCAACTCGTGCGGAAAGAGAATGGGCTTTGGTGAGGTTTCTGCCGCCATAGAGGTCGAGGAATCATCAAAACCCCGATACTCAAAGTCGGAGCTAGTTCCTTCACCCAACCGGCCGTCAAAAGAGGAGTCGATCGCACTCGTTTCGTCTTTCTTCATTCTGATAGAAATTAAGTCAAACAACTGAGCGTCCTCGTCCTCGTCCTCGTCGTCAAGACTGGCAGCATAGTCATCTAACTTGCGCTTGGACGAGACGCAAGGATGACGGTGACCCTGAGAGTTGTGGCGATTAAGCTGGCAGTGTTCGGCGTCGGCAGTACCGCTGTTGATGTAGACCCGTTCGACGGTGGCAGGAAATTCGGCGATAGACATTGAAGGTGGGCCACCACCACCAAGTAAAACAAAAGGCCGATCAACGTGAAAAGCCGGAGCACATAAATAGATAGAAGGCAGGTACAGCGGGCGGCGATCGGCGATCGGCGAAGGTGGGAGAGAACGTGAAGAATGAAAGGGGAAGAAAATTGAAGTAGTTCACGTCGGAGTCGTCACCACCAACCACTGCGAAATTTCTGCAGATGGTAATAACACTTTCCTATTTAGAAGCCGATAATGCTCTGGTGCACCAGTTACACCGTAACTTCACTGTATCGAACATGGTTTATACAGCTGTACGGCCCTGATCTCTTCACTTTGCAGTTCAAGTTCATCCCCATAGAAATCCAACCGTCCAATTTCAAGTCCCTTTTTAAATCAAAATTAAAATAGTAGTAATTAACATGTTTTTATTTTTTTATTTTTTATTGAAGCCATAAATAAATGAGTGTGCTTAGGGTCTAAGCTACTTGGGCAACATGGATCAGACGAACGGATGACAAGATTCTACTTTTCTGATACCATTTTTCAACTCCCTCCATCCCTATCCCAGTAACCAACAATGTCTGATAATGGTGGGTAGGCTAATGAATCCCTCATTTCTCTTATTGATATCGCCTCGCAATTTCTCAATTTTCCTATTTCATTTCTATATTATGAACCCTAATCTCCCGTTCTAATCATTTCTGCAAACAAAAAATCGTCTGATTTTAGATTCGCTTCAAGAGTTCCTTGCCGCTGCTGTCGATGCTGCCAAGAAAGCCGGTCAGGTCAGTCTTTGTTCTCGCTTACGATCGTGTATTCGTTTCGCTTTCCAAATCAATTTTTACTGTTGATTTTGGTTTTTCTCAGATTTTAATTTTATTTCGTTTCTTGTAGTTGATTCGTGAGAAATTCTACTTAACCAAACATGTCGTACACAAAGGAGAGGTACCGCTTTATTGTCGTCATTATCAGTGTCGAATTTGAATCCGTTTTTTGTTTATGGATTCTACTATGTTTTGTCTTGGAATACAGGTGGATTTGGTCACTGAAACTGACAAAGCTTGTGAAGATCTTGTATTTGGTCATCTCAAGCAGCGCTTTCCATCGCACAAGGTAGACTTTTAGTCAGTTTCTTCATGGGAAAGCCCTATAATCTTGACTGGACTGTGACCTTATTTGGTTCAATCGTTCATTGTTTTAGTTTATTGGTGAAGAAACTACAGCTGCTTATGGTGCTGTGGAGCTGACTGACGAGCCCACATGGATAGTAGATCCCATCGATGGAACTACTAACTTTGTTCACGGGTGCTAATTTATCTACATACTCTGTGGTTATCCAATCTTATTTCTTGTTTATAAAAATCTCAATAACTTTCAAAAAATTGTCAGGTTTCCCTTTGTTTGTGTCTCAATTGGTTTAACTATTGGCAAAGTTCCAACAGTTGGTGTTGTATTCAATCCAATCATTGATGAGGTGAGGAAATGTGTATGACTGTTAGAACAGTATAGTTTGGATTCTGCTTTAGAATATCTGAAATTTTACACTTATTTTGATTTGATCTTTGTACTTCTAATATTGGCTATCTTATCAGCTTTTATCGGCCAAAGTCAATTATAGTTCTATTCAATCGTGTCTGTATCATGTGTAGCTTTTTACTGGCATTCGTGGACAAGGGGCGTATCTCAATGGGAAAGCCATTAAAGGTGAGTTCATGTGATCTTTTAAGTTCTACCGTTCAAGCAAAAATACTAGGCACTAGGCATGGTTCGTAGTAGCCCAATCCATGGCTAGCAGATATTGTCTTCTTTGGGTTTTCCCTCTCGGACTTCCCCTCAGGATTTTTAAAACACGTCCGTTATGTCAAGGTTTACACACCTTTATATAGAATGTTTCGTTTTCCTCCCCAACTATTGTGAGATCTCACATTGATTGGAGAGAGGAATAAGTGCGAGCAAGAACGCTGGGTCTCGAAGGGGGTGGATTGTGAGATCCCACATCGGTTAGGGAGGGGAGGAGAGCAAAACATTCTTTATAAGGGAATGGAAACCTCTTCTTAGCATATGCGTTTTAAAAACTTAGAGAAGAAGCTTGAAAGAGAAAGTCCAAGATGACAATAATATCGGCGAGGAGTTGGGCTGTTACATGGTTAGTTTTGTCACATCACATCAAATTCTTAAATGAATTTCTACATATTGCAGTATCCTCCCAAGATGAACTAATGAAATCTCTTCTGGCAATTGAGGTAAAAGTCAGCATTCAAATCAAGATCTTATAGCACACTTCAAATTAAAGAGTGAAAACAGGGTTAAATCACGTATGGTTTTTAATAAACAAATTTGAATAACACGAAAAACCAATCGTAACTGTTGAATGCTGGATGAACAGATTGCAGCGACACGTGACAAATCGTATATAGATGCTACTACTGGCAGAATCAATAGGCTTCTCTTTAAGGTGCATTTTTAAGCTCATTTGAAATTTGACATCTTAGTTCAATCAAAATGGCTTTGGTTTATTATCATCAGTCTCTATCTATTATGCTTGTAGGCGAGATCTCTTAGGATAAGTGGATCATGTGCATTAAGTCTCTGTGACATTGCGTGTGGAAGAATCGATCTATTTTATATAAATGGCTATGGAGGTCCTTGGGACGTGGCTGCTGGCGCTGTGATTGTCACGGAAGCTGGAGGATTGGTCTATGATCCGTAAGTAATCACACGGAATTTCTTTTCATGCTATGGTTTGCTTTCTTCAGAGCTGAAAAACTTGCTTGTTTGTCTGTTTTGGGGTTTTACCTACTGGTTTTTGCGTCAGATCTGGTACAGAATTTGATATCACAGCAACGAGAGTTGCTTCTTCTAATCCACTTCTCAAGGAGGCATTTGTTGAAGCTTTGGCACATCCTTGATGAGAGTGTATCTTCAAGCTTATGAGTCGAATCCGTGCAGAGTGGAAATGGGCTTAAGGAAAACCAGAACCCAAGAGCCCAGTGGGCTTGAATAAATGGGCTAATGTTAATCCAAGTCCATTAGAACGGAAGAGAAGGAATTTGTAGGTGATTTTTTTTTCAAAATTCAAAAACATTATTAAAACGTTCGTGGTTATTTTATATAATTTAAGATTTTTTTTCAATATGGAGGTTAATTAAAAAATAATAAATTATATTCCTCCACATAAATGTATGATGGATATTAAATAATTCTGGCTAATTGTAGGGGGGCTAGGAAGAGGTATGTGAGTTGGAGGTGGGCCCAAAAGCCAACCAAAAAGAATTATTATGGCTTTTTTTCAAAGAAAATATGTAGCAATTCCTTAGACCATTTTTTTTTTTAAATTAAGATAAAATATATCATTTTTTATTTAAATTAAATTAAATCGGAAGCTATAATATGTAATTACAGTAATATAATGAAAATTAATGTGGAAGAAAAAATATGAAAAATTAAATGAGAAAAAAAAAAGTGAGGTTGACTTTTTTGGAAAAATAATTAAATGATGGTAGAAAGGAGGGTTCAACAACTCAGTATTAAATGAGACAGCGAAAATTATTATTTTATGGGAATAAAAATAATTAGGTCCAAGAAAAATAAAAGGCAGAGCCCAGAATTACTTACCCACTTCACCGACTACTTTACCATTAAAATCAAAAGAAAAAAAATTAAATTAATGTAAAAAAAAAAAAATAGGCACTTAGAATAAGTACATGTTCGAGCATCATTGACTAACTCCTTATTAATTCCGATTCATTTCCATATGAACAAAAATGTAATAGATTCAATTCAATTGACAAAAAAAAAGTACAGAACAAGAGAATATATTGGTAATCGATCGAATAAAAGAATTTTTATTTTAGACAGAAACAATCTTCAAATAGAATTGAAGGAGAATGTGTGCCATAACATAGAACAAAGTTTAATTTATGCTCTTTCTAACTAAAGATTTATTACTGGCGAGTCACGGTAATTGCGCCGATCAAAGTAGCTAAAAGAATGATCGAAATTAGTTCAAATGGAAGAAAAAAATATGTTGATAAATGAATTCTAATTTGTTGGCTTAGAATCTGGTTTGATTTCGTATTCCAAATAATCTCATATGAAAATTCCTGTATGTAGTATTATGTAGTATTAAGAGTTCTCTCAATTATTGGCTTCAGGCTATACAGCGAAGAGTTGGGTAAAATGTGAATCTGACTGGTTGGTTTATAATAATTCAGGAAGCGGATTCTCATAGTCCCCAAATTCAATTAAATTTGACGTGAATATTTCTTTTGTGTTTGTCGTCCAGTAACAAGTAACAGTAGTACATAGAATTCAATGAACGAAAGCGAACAAGGAACAGAATAATAATCAATATTCGTAATGCACGCATTATTGTTGTTATATTAGACTCAAAGGATCGTTCTTCACCTAATTAGAAGAATGATTGAACCCACCACAGAAAATCTAATTAGTTGAAATCAAATTTAAATAGAGGGCATTACAAGATCTTCAGGGATTGAAGGAGTCGTTGATTTAAAAAAAAAAGTTAAACAACATAATTTATTTATTATTTTTTATTTTTTTATTTTTTCTTTCTAATTATTTAGAATCTATTTAATAGATTTATATATTAAATTAATTATGGTTTATAATAAGAATATTAATTTTTATATGTTTTTAACCTTTAAAATTTAAAAAATACCTGTACTTACTATTTTATTTTAAAAAAATATTATAAACTTTCAAATCTTATTTTAAAAAACTTAAAAAATTAGTTAAATTTTTTTAAATACAAAAAAAAAAAAAATAAATACTTAACGAACAGTACGGATGGAAAGATTTCGGAATGCACATGCCATCCCAGACATTTCACCCGAGAGATTGGCCAGGAGAATTAACCTCCTTTTACCATTTCCGGCCTCACTTAACCACTTACCTCAGCGTTTTATGTACGGTTCTAGTTCATGAAAGGGTCTGATATCTTTCCCATTTTAAAAATAGACATGATTTTTTAAAAATAATATCAATACCCTTAAACTTTGAAAAATAAAATTAAAAAAAAATATGCTCGAGATAAAGTTTATTTTAGATTTGTCTTTTATTTAATTTTTAATAAAAAAAAGTTGCTTTTCCTTTTGAAATTACCTTTTTCTTTCTCGTCCTTTATTATTTTTCTCATTTAGTCAAAAAGAATAAAAATATACTTTATTATTTTTCTCATTTATTCAAAAGGAATAAAAATATAATTTTTTGGCTCAATAAATAAATAAATAAATAAAAGATATTTAAAATACATTAAAATTACATGCACACAATTATTGTAATAAAAATGATGCTATAATTTTGAGAAATTTACCAAACCCATCAACTACTTCTATGGACCAAAGTTCGAAACAAACCCAGGACTTCTTGAACCATCCATTTAATTTTAATATATTTGATGTTTTGCCTAACCAACCAGTCCAACACTATGGTCAATTAAAGAGTTAAAAAATATAAAATATTGTCACGTATGCACATGGTTGCTTATTATATATATATATATATATATATATATACATATATGCCCAAATTCATATCTAATCATTGTGAGCAGTGGACTCCAAAACTTAGTATTATATAAACTTTATATTAAAAAAAATGTGTGTTCTTATAAATGAAATCACCAAACTTTATGGGTCTCAAATTTCATAATCAACCCTTTTTACCTAAACTCTCACACTACCTTACTTCCTCATATGCTTCCTTTCTTTAGTGCTAAAAAACTGGGTTCATATTATAAATAAATAATTATGTGATTTGTCTACAAAAATATATTTAAATTTTTTAAATTTTAAATACAATAAAAACTCTCTTTAAACTTTAAAAAAAAAAAAAAAAAATCTTTAAAATACCTTTCCGCTAATTTTATTGTTTAAAAAATAAAATAAAACTATTATTAAATTTTCAAAAATGTGGTTAATATCCTTAAAAAGAAATTAAAACTTGAAAAATACCTTTCTACTCTGTTACATATTCGTGATTATTCTAAGATAAATACGGATGAACTTGGAACGTCCCATATAATAACTATTTGATTTATTATTATTATTTTTTGATTAAGCTTATAAACACTATTTCAATATATTGATTTATTTGTTTATTTGGGTTTATTATTACTCTTATTATAAATAAAAAAAAAACAAATTTTATAATTTTAAAAAGAACCACATAATTTCCATGCGTTATTCTTTTTATTTTTTGGAAATAAACATTTTAATTTTAAAAGATTATAAATATTTATTTTACATACATGATTCAAGAATGGGAGCAAACAAAATCTCAATCCACGTTGATTAATTAGAAAAGTGTCCTAATCACCGTACAATTAGAGTGATTGACAGCTAAGCAGGTTGACCAAAACCGCACCAAATAATACAATTAAATCACTTAATTATAATAATTAATCTCATAATATTATGTAGTTGGTGCTTGTTCTTTTTTTGTTCATAAATTTACATTTAATGTCCCCATTGATTATATCATATCAATCTGTAAGCGTCCGTGTTAAGAAACCCATATTACCAACCATTTTTTTCCAAATATATATATATATATATTAATTAATTTCCCTATTTAAACTCACATAAATTAATATATTATTTTCGAGGGTAAATGGAAAATTAATTTAATAGAGGAAAATCATGCCCTTTGCTCTATAATTCATTTCGTCAATAAAATAATATGTGACGTGACACCAAAATATGAATTTACTACATGAAAAAGAGTGGATATAGGTATTTAATAATTAAAAATCTCCCCCATATGACATAATAAATGAATAATTCCATTTACCTGCCACGTACACGTCACTTTGAATTTTCATATTTTATTTGAACGAAATAAACTAAATAAAAGAGATAAATTAGAAGAGAAATTCAATAAATAATTGTAAAGCTTTGTGGAATTTAAGCGAGACCACTTTTTTTATTTTAGAAAAAAAAAGTTGGTTTTTAATATACCAAATAAAATGTTAATAATTATTTTTATTTTTTAATGTTTAAAAAGAAAATCCACGCAATATAATGAATGGTCTAGTCTGTATTTATTTTGAAGCATAGTTTTATTAAATAATTATACAGAAAAATACACCTAGCAACACGCTGTTTGATTCAAAGTACAATAGTCATATTTGATTTTCTACATTGACATGTACGACTTTAAATAAAATACAAACATTATTATAAATATTTTTCATTATATTTTATAATTTATTTTTACCCCAGGTAAAACGAGGCATTACTTACGGCTATCCCTTATCCACGGTAAAATTCCTTCCGCCGTCAAGTACGCGCGTATTTGACGGTTTATTCCTTGGCACGTGTGGATGCGCCTCACCTTAAAGGAAACGAGGGCTGGGATACGATGCGGCGTAACGTTAAGCGGACACGTGTTAGTTTCAGCGCTGAAGTTACAGCTGTATGCTGACTATTGTCGTAAACTCCCAGACGCGATTCTGCCACGTAAGATCCATACCCATTACACAACTGTGTGAACCCTTCACCCGAGTCCGTTGGGTCTAAATAAAAAAGCTGCGCCACCAGAAAATTTTAATTAAAAGGAATTAAAATTATAAATGGGATTTTGTGTGATTTGGAGTGAAACGACGTCGGTTTGGTCACTTGCCGACGGTCCCACACATGGAATCCATACCCCACGGCCAGGGAGCTGTGACGGTTGTCACGTCAGACCCTCCTCTTTGGTCCGATGAGATAAGAGGGTGGCCCAAGTTTCGGTTATTAAAATGGCCTGTGATCATTGCAGCCATTCACAGCCTCGTAGCTGTATCGAAACCCAGACGCCGAAGTTCGAATCGTTCAGAAACCAAATTCCTCTCTCTTTCTCTCTCTTTTTCCGGCCATGAAATTTTCTTGAGAATCAGACGGAGTTTTTCGCACTCCTATCGAAGAATTTTGGGGGTTTTGAACTGAGATTTATAGTTCTGCTTTTGGAAATGGTGTCGCTTGAGGATTCTCATTCCACTTCTAATCGGTTTCCTTTGGGAAGAAATTGTTACAGTCC